ACGTTCGACACATTTGGTCCCCATACATAGGTTTTTGATGCACGGCACCTGCGAGGTTTTCGAGTCTTTCCGGCAATAATAAACTTCCTTCATAGAGATGTTGAGAAAGAGCAAGACATTTTTTGTGAAGACTCGCGAGGTTTCTTCTTTTCTTATGTGTTCACTGTTTTTTGTGGAAGACACCGTCGCGTAGAAAAGTAGTTCCCGAAGAAGTTCACTTTCACCACAAGAAGTCGAAACTTCTTTCATTGGAGATGCACTCCCACTGTTCTCTATTCCTCAGAAAACTGCCGTAATTCTGCCCAAAAACTTCTCTTTGTGCTAATTAATCGAATCTAATGCGGGTCTGCACAATCATCTTGCCCTCGATACGGCCACGCACGAGCGCCTGTGGCTGACCACTCCTCGAATTGCGCTCCCTTCCGACCAAAATGCACGCCCTTCGTTCGAACATTCGAACAGACGTTGACCTGTTCCCGACACCTTAGTAAAGAGCTCGTGGCTCTCGGCACTGCAGATGTGATGATAGACGACGCTACTTAAGAGCGTCCGAGTGTTCCGTATTCTCATAGAAAACGCCAGCTATCGAGCACCGCTTCGGCCAAACTGCATACAGGTCTGTTAAGAGCTGGCTCATCGAAGTCGGCAGTCATGAGGTTTTTCCAACCTCCAACCCGAGTTCAACCGTCGCCCTACGATCAGAGCAAGCTCGAAGGTAGAGTGTTTTTCGTGAATTCCCCCTCCCCTCAATAAGCAAAAAGAGCGTTGATGCAGACCACACACACACAATGACGACAGCTTCCAAGCAAATTAGTAGAAGTGATTCATAGTGATAGCTGATTTTTAGTAAATGATAAGCAATATATAATTAGTGGCAACTGATAGAAACAACTGCATCAGTTAATCATTTCATTGGCATTTTGTGGAGGCCGTCATCAATTGTGGTGTATATTCTGACACTCAACGTCTTTCTCGCCTTTTGAAAAAGGGGAGTACTTGTTTCCGAAATGTGAAATCGCTTTTAGGAAAACGTTCATATGTGTATTGAGCCACCTCCGTTTCAAGAGTGCGTTTATTTGAGCGTAGGATGAAAATCAGCGTAGGAACGCTATGATTTTTGATTCAACGAAATTGCTTCCTCCCATCAGGCTAAAAAGCTGATGCAGCTGTTATAGGCTGAGTCAAACTTTCAATTAAACATTATAGAGCTTGTCAGAATCAGCAATGAGGTTTTGCTAAAGTGGCTTAAGCTAAAAGGCTAGAGGAATCATGCACGAAGAATTGCGAGTTCCTCCCAGTACGAATATGTCAGTTCATAAAATTTTCACATGCACGAACATTAAAGGCAAAGTTCGGCTCAGACCACCTAATGAGCCCTTAAACGTGGCTAGAAGCGCATGGGACACAACTGTAAGCGACTCGTCAAAACCCCGCATCGAAATGCGTCACTGAAGCGCTAGGGCCAAGGACTTGACACGCTCCTCCGCGCGACACGCTCCGCCCACCGCTCGATTCTTTTGTCCCTTGCAATGCTGAGCTGCTATGCCCTCTCTTCTCGATTCTCTACCGCTCTCCGCGCTCACATTATCTCTCACCTCTCTGCGGCCTTTCGAACTTCGCCGCAACGTAGAGCAAAACGATCGTATTTCCTGTGTATTTCACGTTTTCTTTTCCTTTTTTCTTCACTGGCGGTCCACCTCCCACTCCACCATCTCCATTTGAGTAGAATTACTCATCAGTTCAAGCTTGAATCTTGCTTTAAGCTTCCGAAGGGAACCCGGTCAACAAATGTCACCCTCCGCGAACAGTCAGCGGTAGATCGGGAGGAGTCAAGAGGCGGCCTGTGAAAAATGTCGCGTTCGCCTGATAGTGACCCTTGGGCAGACACATAATCAGGCGAATCAAGAAAGAATGCGCGTAGAAGAGTGAAATGTTCTCGCCAAGGTGAAAGACAAAAAGAGATTTTAGCCACGGCACTTCAAGATGCACGTGAAAGCGTCCGCAGCCATAAATCGTACCTACTACTATAAAAGCGCTTCGTCTGTCGTTCTGTCTGTCGTTCTGTATGTCTTCACGAAATTCCTAGCTCCTCGGAATCCACCTGGAGGGACCGATTCAAGTGTGAAATGGGTGGGCAGGGTCTCACGTAATACAAAACACACACCAGCTAAGCGGAGCCCCGCCCACAGGGCGTGGCGTGCGTCGAAATGAATTGTACCAAAGACCAAGATTTCGATTTCAGTGACAAAACGACCTCGAAACTGGGCCAAAAAGTGGTAAGGTGTGCATTGGTAAGTCACATCGAATTAGGGAGACCCACCCCGAGGGCGGGGCGTTTCTCCAAAAAAGCAGTGCTTTATGAAAATTTCATAACTCGGTTGGGGAGAAAGCCTACAGAGGCAGAAAACATTTGGTGTAAGGGAGCAATTGTTTCCTGCATACATGACGTGGGCGCAGGCCGCTAGAATGGCGGGCCGCGCTCTTAAGTGTACAGCATTTTCTATCAGGTCGCAACGAAAGTATGGCCGGATTCGACCCTCATTTCAAAAACGTGTATCTTTCTTAATTGAACTTTTTCCTAATAATAATCCCACAATTACAACCAGTCAGCCATCGTCGACAAGGAAACAAATGCCTCTCCTTCAAATTCGGCAGGCTTGAGTCGATGGAAGTGCCCATGGTCCGCTTTCAGCTATTGAAAGTATGTCGTGGTTTTTATCCTTGACGTAGCCGGGAAGGAGTGGGTGGTATTCCGTGGGCCGCAAGACCTGGCGAATATGGAGGATGGGGTAAAACCGCAGATCCAAGTTCTCGCCAATGATGTTCTGGGTTACCCTTGACCACGCGCTTCATGAAGAGAAAAACTTCGCCCATCTTCAGGGCCGAAGTTTCGCGACTTTACGCGGCCTTCGTAGTTTTGATCTTGACAGCACTCGCGTCGACACTGGTATTGTCTGGCATTGTAATGGCGTGTTTCCCCGAGATCTCCACCAACCGACAGAGGACTTTCTTTGGATGAACGCTCTCTGGATCAGCCTCTGCTTTCTGAAGTTCGCACCCATTGCACTTGTCTTCTTCTGGTATGACATAGGTATGACCCCACCTGTCATCTCAGTAATTATCATTATCTCAACCAGTCGAAAGCTGGCAACTCCTTGCCAAGATAACTCCGCACATCCCCGATACCGTTTTCTTACAATGTCTGTCGAGCTCAATAAGGAATCAATCGACCAGTTTCTCAACTTTTTCCAGCATGTGAGAACAGACCTGTGCCTGTGAAAGCTGCGTGCATTCTTTGCCAGTCCATGCGCGATTGCATGGGAAGTCTGTGCAGTAACAGCTCCGAACGTATCGAAATTGACATTTCGTTGGGCGATCATCTGTCGAGGTTGTCGTTTTTTCGGAAGACTTCTTGAACAAGTTGGCAGTGTTTGTTCTTACCACTTCCCCTACTTCCCAGAGCATATGTTTGCGGGATTGCTTTCTCGCTTGCTGTGTGTCGCAATAAATAAGATTCGCAAAGAAGTCAATGGCGTTTATTTTAACATGGGCTTGAAACTAATGGCTTTTCATCTCAAAAAGTCCGGCAAGAGTGAGACTCGGAATAATAAGGATGTTACCTTTCCTGTTATTTGTTATAAAATTTTCGCTCAAGTTAATGCGTCGAGGCTGGTCAGACTTTGAAGAAATGCGCCAGGACTTGCGTTGCGTGATCTAATACAAGCACCTTCATAATTCGGGTGGGGGAGTCTTCGAGAGGCCGGAAAAAAGTGGATAGAGGTGTCTGGAGTGGCAGGCCACTGTCAATGATGGGCAGGCTTGCCGCAAAGTGGCGAAATTGCGCCGCAAAATTCATAATGTCGGCTCCAAGGTTCACGGAGGCAGGGAAAATGTGGCCGACAGGTGGGATGGAGAGCGGTAGGCTAAGGCTGTCATCGGTGGCGGGCTTGGCTAAAGTGGCGGAAATTTCGACGAAAAACTCCATAAATCGAGCTCAAGAAGTCCCGGTGGCGGAACAAGTGATTGAGGGGGTGGAGCGTGGAGTTAGTTGTCATTCCGCGGTGGGCGGGCTTGACCCCCAAAGTGGGCGGAAATTGCGACGAAATTCATAAGTCGGCCTCAAGAAGTCCCGAGGCGGAAAAAGTTGCCGAAAGTGGGTGAAGGAGCGGAGGCTAGCTGTTCATCGGTGGCGGGGCTGGCCTAAAGTGGGCGGATGCACGACAATCCATAGTTCGGTCTCAAGAAGTCCGGTGGCCGGAACAAGGTGGATTGCGGTGGGTGGAGGAGTGGAGGTTAGCGGTCTGCGGCTGCGGGGCTTGGCAAAGTGGGCGGAGTCTGCGACAAATATAACATCGGGCTCCAACCGCTCGCGGAGGCCCGGGAGAAAGGAATAGAGGCCGGAAGGAAGAAGAGGTCAACTGGCTATCCGTGGGCGGAGCATCACATAACTTGGCGGGTTTGCCAAAAGCTGTCGCAGTACTTGGTTCAATTAAGAGGTCCAGACCGGTGACAAAAAGGGGTAAAGGATCGGCGAAAGAGGGCCAAATTCTATTGGTTTCTCTGCACCTCAGTATCTTTCAGCACTTTTGCAGAACATCCAGGTCACATCACCGTGTTCTTGTGAGTGTATACTGTAATCTCACACGAAATGCAGACGCAGAAATCGATCATTCACCTTTATATAATCTTCGTATAATAAGACTTCAACTTCCTTTAATGTACATACGTGAGAGTAATATATGAGGAACGGAATCGATAAAGAAGTAGACCTTCAAAAATAAATACCAACTCTCAATCTTCCTTGAACTTATTGAAAAATCAACAAATCGAGGCTTTCAACATCAGTGCGTTTAACATCAAGTGGTATGTGTAGGTGTGTATGGAGAGTAGAGGATTTTCACGACAACGTAGACACACACCTCAAATGATGCGTGCGATACCGTATTACTTGTGAATACCGTAGTCGCTAGCGGACCACAAGAAGGATCAGTATCGGCTCATCAGACTGAAGGTACTGGTGGCAGGTTCGGTTGAGTGACAGAAAGACGACGAGGACGATCGGCTTCTTCCATTGAGCTAAAAACACATCCATATTCAACTAGACCTCATTGATGAAGCACTGAGATTAGGCATGTACACGATGATTTCTGGGATGTGCAGTGTGTTCGACAGTGGTGGCATTTGAACGCGATTTGGCCAATACAGTGCCTTGCGTGACCAGTAGGTGTTTACCAAAAAAGTCCCCCAATCATTGACTAATGCCGGAAATGGAAAGCTAGATTGGTCTTGGCAACCAGCCTTAACCCCTGGACTTCGTGTTTTCGAACTGGACCCGGAAATCGTCAAAAGGAGGCAGGATGAATTTTAATCTTGCGCGGACAGCTGGATGGCGTGAGCTGACAGCCTCATCGGCTGCTATCAAGCAGTAGTTGGAAAACTCGTCAGAACGAGTCGTTTCCCTCCCTCAAACAAAAGTTGCTATCCATTGTTTATTTGATAACTTATTTATAATGCGCTCAAGGTGGGCCATCAATAAACACAATCCCAGTAGAACATGATCGAACGGAAGAGGTGGGCTAGAGACAACCTTTTATCTAGGTTGTATTCGATTCTCTGCTGTATTCTTTACGTTCACTTTTATGTAGTACACCAACTTGATAACAGAATGCGCCTTTAGCTCCCTTCTGACGGTTCATTTTGAGAATTTCTATCCAAAAATCTTATTCATTTGCTGCATCGGCTGTTTTCAATCATGTGGATTTCAACCCATGGGATGGATGGAGGACGATGTTTGAAGTGTTTTGGCTTTGCCAGTACGAGTGTTTGCCACTACCACATCGGCTCCATATTGACAAGGCAAGCTTTGATGCAGCGAATTACGAAAAAAAAACTGCAGTTTCAAATGTGAAGCTGATAATGCTAATAGCAGCTCAAGCATACACTTACATGGTACGGAAGCCCTCATTCAAGGCTTAAGGCTGTGCTAACGTGTTTCGAACACACATATTTTTAGAAACTGAAAGTGCAATGGGAGTGCCGTCGACGTTCCCATGGAAGCATTTTTTCCTCGTTTTATGTGGAACGTGCGTGTTAAGGTACTTTGAGCTCATTTGCATAAAGAAGGCAATTATAGCAAGCTGTTTAAACTCAAAGTGCAAAATCGGAAATCAGAAAAGCGGTCAAACGTCAGATTTTTCAAAAACCTGAATGCGCTGCTTCTGCAAACTTCGCAGCAGGCAGATTCAATTGAAGAAGTCTGCTTGCTTCCGATCTCTTTGGAGACGAAAAAAGAGAACGTCCACGGAAGCGAATATTCACTTGCAAAAATACTTGTAAAAGTACGTAAATAGACGTCTACGATTGGTGATAACGGGAGAAAGTACACGGCATCGACTGATTTCGATCGTCGATGATGCACCGTGCATTCGATTTCCACTCGGAATCGAGCGGTACTGAAGCCGTACTCAACCTGTGCAATGGCTTCTCAGGGTTTAACACTTATCGCTCTTGTGGATTTGGCATCAATAGTTGAATCCCAGATGGCTGATGGCCTGGCAGCATTTCGTGGGATTCAAATCATTGGTCATGTGTGTGCATCCGGCTTATCATCTATACCAGCCTCCGGAAGGCTTATGGTTGTAAAACAACGAACTGTACTGTGGTAGGAAAAACTGAAGCTCTACGAGGCTTATAGACTCAAAGAGACCTCCGCGGCAATCAAGCATTTGGCTTTATTTACCCTTTACTACCACACTTGACAAAAACTGAGTCAAATTTCACGCGAATTGTCCATGACGAGGATTTTGCTAGAAAGTTCGGAAGTGTTTCAACCCGTAGAACACACTTATCGAATCAATTTAGAAAAAAAAACGCCAGGTCCACAGGCGCCGGTGCTATCACATTGGCTACGCGCCGACGCCCGTGGTTCAGCCACAAGCGAAGGAATGTGATAGCTAATTTCTACGGGTCGACCACCACTAACGACACATTTTCAGCGAATTTTGTGATCCATGAAGTTCTGGCGCCTGTTGACGCCGGCACTCGGTTTTCCCACTAAACGAAATGGTACTCGCGTCGCACGGGTCAAACCACCGCGAAGATAGCTTTCTAGCCAAATATACGATTATGAACAAATCTCGATAAAAGCCCGGCTTAGATTCCGAGGAGTGGGCAGTAAATGGTAAATAGTGCAAAGTACTACTTTGAAAGATAAGCGCAGGCTTACTCATCACTCGTCATTGTTTAGCTCAGACTTTTCGTTTTTCTTAAACCGTTTGTTTACGGCTACTGCTCGCGTGAGACGCACGAGTAAGTAAATACCTGCTGAGGGTCCGTTGTCGTTCCATTCCAGGAATCGCGACGCCCGATAAAACACCACATCCTTTGCACAACAAAATGAATGAACGAGCCATGTTGTCCGGCTGCAACGATTTCTTTTAGTGTACTAGCTGACAATTCATACTTAACACACGATTTAATTATGGAGAGGCTTAGAGGAAAGAATTACGATAAAGAGGTATCGGGGAAGTACATGTGCCACATAAAGCGGCTACTTGGCAGTCAAAGAAGGGCGGTGCGTTACTCTCACAATTGAAGGTGCTGAAGAGGTTGCTGAGCACGACTTCAAAAGCCATCAGCCCCGAAAGCGACCCCCCCCCTCCTTAAAGAGATAGTTGCTGATTTGGACGAGTGCTGCAGCACAACCGATGCAACTCCACTGGAGTGGTACCACCAAACGCGTTGCGGTCAACTTGTCCATACTTCCGCCATCTTAGCCGCTGTTCGCCTTTCAATGAAGATCAACGGTCAAACAAGGGAGTCCCTCTTAGCGTTCTCAACGATTTCTCCGTTTTTTCGCCGTACCATCGAGTACTCCCACGACCCCTTCAAACTTTCTAGTACCTATCGTAATCGCTGATTTCCGGAGGAAAAACTAAAAACTCCGACTTCAGGAGGAAAAACTAAAAAAACTAAGCCATAATAGCATTCCATCCAAGAAGCGCTGGCGAAGCCTCTACAGGTAGCATGGCGCAGGTTACACCAAGGCGTGTGACTGACCGTGTGGCGAAACCAATCAAAGGCACCGGAGCTACGCAGTCCACCAGTCGGACTGAGCTAACGTCTGCTGGCAAGGACACAGTCAGGAGCCCCCTCAAATTTGCGGAGAGGGTCAACCACTTGTCGACGCTTCCCAACCAAATTGTATCTTGTGATTGGTGGCGAGGGTGGTATTTCGAAGGATCAACGATAGGAAAAATCTGTAGAATCGGATTTTTTTGAGAATGTTTTGAAAATTTTGCCGTTTCAATAGTCGTGCCTCCCCCCCCCCCGTTCAACGCTTCAGGTTTCTGAGGATGGAACTTCGAGTGTGTCGCGATGACAAGATAAGCGGGTTCAACGACACCAGGACAGTACCAACGGTGGGTGGAGCCAGGTAGAGGAAAGAGGGGTGTCCTTTCAAGGTTTTTATCAGCGAGACGCTAATTTGGTTGAGAAATGTTGATAGCATCTATACTGTTATCATGCATTCGCTTTTTAGGTTAGTGGTATCCAAAGAAATGGTGAGCGAAACGTTTAGGTGTGAGTCGCCGCGCGCGGTACCGCACTTCCGATGTGACGTCCACGAAAGGGATTCCTGACGCACATCCGCTGCAGCTCTGTATTGCTGTATAAGCCAAATGCGAATATAGAAAATCAAAAACGTACAGCTTCCTGAAGCACGTCAGCAACGTTGTCGACAACAAGCAGTGTAGTTTTACGTCGATTCATGCTTTTCTGGGTCGTGTACACCGTGTGCAGGTGTGATGCTTTTGAACCAGAGACTAACAGAGTATCCACACTGAAAGCGTAGTCTTTGTGACACATTAACCATTAACAAAAAAAAACCTGGAAATATTACTTGTCGAGTTTTGTTCCAATAGAACCAGATAAGTCTGTCCTTTTGGTGAATGATAGCAGATACTTGCTGAGATTACGCGGATTCAATGTACGTTTCAGCTCATCCACATACATTTGTCTATCCTTCTTGTTTACCTAAAAGATGTATTGCAGCCGAAGATGCGTTAGTGATTTGTAGAGGCAGACCGCTTTTCAGTCGGTAGGGTGGACGATAGTGTGACGTCTTTGGGATACCAAATTCGATTAGTGTATGAAATGTTAGTGCACGTCATCACTGTCGACCATGGCTGAGCGGAATTCGCGCCTAAGTCCCTGGGAACCGGAGAGCTTTGGACACTCGAACATCTGAAGAGACATAAACCTCCACATGAACTTATGGGTTTTATTCTGTTAGCACCCACGTTCCTCAGTGGTGAGTCGTTCACAGCCTATACTAACAATACTATCAAGGAATGTCGTTCAGGGTGTGCCAAGCATTTTCATAACGGTCTTGTGCATGATATAGGGGCACATGCGGGAACCACAAAACCATGGTTAATTTTTCCTGAACGGCCCTCTGCATACCAGTAAAGGGGGTCTCTAGTCACACTTTTTCACCAGTTTTTCAGACAAAGTCTACTTGTAAGGGTTACTGACGGTCCTAATCATGAACATGGTACTAATTATTCATGCTAACTCCATTTTGCGCGGATTTTGAAACGTCAAGAAATGCAAATATTTGTCACCACGAGGAATCGAACTAGGGATTTTGTATTCAGAGGGCTGTTCAGGAAAATGAACCATACTTCTGTGGTGCCCATATGTGCTCCAATGTCATGCCAGAAAGCATTTTGAAAAAGCTTGGCACATCCTGAACGACCTCCCTTGTAAGGGCCAATGGGCAGCATGTGGGAATGGGTGTCACAAAACCGGTCACAGTATAGGAATGACCTGCGTACGCTTTGAGTCTTCCCAGTAGAATAGGCATAGATATACTCCCCTGTAAAAAACGAGAAGGGCGTCGGGTGCAGATCATACACCACAAGTGACGACGGCCTGTACAAAATGTAAATGTTTTCTGCCAGTGAAATGATTTACCTGTTGCAGTTATATTCTATCAGTTGTCACTGATCACAGCTATCATTTGTCAAAATCAGCTCTCACGAACGCTACTGACCAGATTTACTTGGAGGCCGTCGTCACTTGTGGTGTATGGTTTGAAAGGGAGGCTATATTCCATTTCGAATCAAAAGGGCAAGCAATAGCTGGCTGAAGGTCAGGATGAAGCCTACCAAACGTGGGCACTGTTGTCGCGTGCGAATTTTGTTCGCTGCTTTGAGAAATCTAAAAGTAAAAACCGAGTCCTGCCCATCCGTGGTACCGACCGAGAAGCGCCATAACCACGCTTAAAACGAAATAAGCATGCAAAACAAAGAATTGCTAGTGTACACATGCAGTATCCGATACAAGTGCTGCAACTATATTCACTAAGTGATGTGGTACAACCAGCCCGAACTTGAAACCAAGTTAATTTTCGAAAATCATGCACGTTCAGATGGAAATTCGGGATTAAGCTTTCATGTGCATGTGATTCGAACTAGCGTTACTAAAAATGCCAAACAAACTTACGTCAGCAGCCTGTAGCGACATCGTTAAACAAAACAGAATTAGTGCCAACATATTCACATCTATTTCAAAAGTAACAACTCTACACGTTATTCGAAAGACATTCGAAAATATAAGCATTCGAATAACGAACAATAATATCAAAGTAGGAACTTGTATGCTTGATCCATTGAAGTAATATTTACGAAAAACTCACGGTTCCGAATTTATGTGTAACCAGGTACTCCCATGCACCATCAGTCATAATGTCGTTTTCCAGACGCATATTTATAACCTATTATTGTTATCTGTAATTTTGAACAAGTATCAGTAATGACGTCATGACTCACTTTGTCCTTGCAATATTCTACAATTCCTGCGGTCGTTGACGTGCAGTGCACTAGAATCGTTCCAAGAATTCTATTTGGATTCGACATCTGAAAAAGTGCTTTTGCCATGGAGTCCTTGCACTTTAATCACCTATAGGTATTAAATTCAGGATTACTCACCGCAAACCGACATAAAATGTTCGCACCGGCTCCTTCACCGAATACAATGCATGACTGAAATGGTTTACTAAACTCTAGAATTCTCAACGTTCAATTGATTGTTACTAAAGCGTTTTTCAGAAGGACATGTGAGTGGGAAGTATCTTTTCAAGAATATTTAGGGTAAGGGACAAAACATGTCCGGTGAGAGATTTACAATTTCACAGCCCTTCCACCAAAGCAAAATGAAACATCGAAAATCGAAACGCACTAACTATATCGAAACCAAATTTGCAACTTCTTGAAGAAGGAATGGAGTTGGGATTAGTAAATCCACTGGACCTCCGAGTCCCCCCCCCCGTTACAACCCCTTATAAACCGAAGCCGGGGACGTAAAAGGAAACTGGGAGCACGGCAGCCGCCTGCCAGCACTCTATCGGCGAGCAAGAGGGAGGTCGGAGGGAAATAATTGCGAATAAAGAACATTATATACAAAGACAATATAATCTGCTTTCAGTGGGGTCATCCCATCCCCGCTCGACCCATTCTGAAGTTTTGGATTCGGAGATGGTGTGTCAAGTAGCGGCAGATTCATCGACACTAGCGGCACCAGCGGCCGTTGAAGACGAAGGAAAAGGGGTCATGCGGAGAAATCCCTTCAAGAAGTATTTTTTTGAAATCCCAACACGATGGATGACCATAACAGGGAGACATCGGAAAAGAGCACAAAATACATAATGTGGTACAGTCGGAGCCAAACCGATATCGGAACTGCTCACAAACCTATGGGCCTTTCAAAATCTAGCTTTCAGTAATTTATAAGTCTACTTCACTTCATCTGGAGTGTTCAATCTCACAACCTAAACATCATTACTAAGGAGGAAATTCTCAGTATTAAATTATCCAAAAACAAATTTCACCTTAACATCGAGTTTATCGAGCACGTAGGTCAAATCTTGGGCGATTTGGTCAAGCGTTGGGAATCTATAATGAAAATTTTCAAATAAATCGTCGATAATTGATTCTTCGAACGAATAAAATGTTATGATTCGTTTAAATCATAGCCTAACGGCATTAGGGTGTTCCGAAAGGAATGATCACATGGTCAACTCTAGAATCGAGATTATCGAGGCTGACTAAGTCCACCACTTCTCTGGAGTAGATGAATAAGTACATTCTGATCCAGAAGAACAAAAAGACTAAGTTGTATGGCTAGCCTCAAAAGTCACAGAAAGCCGGAATATGTAACCCATTTCCTTTATGCTCTAAATTTGTGGAAGGCGAATGCGCGGCGCATCTCATAAATGGCTTGATTAATGATGAGCCCTTTCAGACCCCACATGCCGAAAAACAATGATATTCCGATTCCATATTGATTATCTACACTACCAAATCATTTCACTCCAATGAGGGAAGGATTCAAGGGTTTTCCTCATTGTACTGCCGCTAATGATTTTCTTTTGACTTGCCTTCCGGCATTGACCGCCAACGGCTTGGTCAAAGTCACGGAAGGAAATCCAATTTTCAAGCTTTTTTGGAATTTGGACAGCATGAAGTAAACGCGGCTACTCGTTAGTACGTACTCTCCAATATAATCGGCAGCATTGTCTTCTTGTCCAGGCACACATACGTGGAGAAAGATGGACTTGTTCTTCACATCAACCATTGAAGGATGATTCACGAATCGTACGAACGTCTTGTCTGGAATGTCATCGATTTATCGAAAATCTTTCTCCGACACAAGTAAATACCGTTTTTATTTATTTGCTCTATCAAGCGCTACAGTAACATTTTGCAATGATCTTCTGCTCAACACTCAGTTGGCACCGTAATCCAAACATTTCAGACACAAGACTGGTCGCTAGCAGGGTTAACCGTCCGTTGGACAAGGTCCGACGAGGCGGTGGGGGGGTCGTCCTTGGGGGTGGAAAAGGGGGGGGGTCGTATTTTGCGAGGTGGCGACAATGTTACAGTAAGGTAAGGGATGTTTTTCTATGTAACGGATGGTGGGTTCTTGTAGGCTGGGCTTTTGGAATGAGTGTGAGTGTGGAAATTTTGCCGTTTCACATTCCATCGAGACCCTCCAGGGAAGGAGGAAGGGGGTCGTAAAATTTTCGAAATTGGTCCAACGTAACGGTTGACCTTGGTCGCTAGCCTCTTGAGTAATGAATTCATGCGACGTATCTGTTGCTAGGCTTATCGCCTCTTAGAGCAGCTTCGGCACCTATTACCGGAAGCCAGACGGCAAATACAAATTTCCGTCTTTGGAGCACCTCTCACTCTAAATACATATCGATTAGGAGGGTTCTGACAGAGATTCTCTAACGACTGATTATAAGGGAGCTCCACCACCCAGCAACACTGTGTTTCGGCACTATTGTTTGAAGAACAGCAAAGGTCAGAAGAGGACCTGTCACTTCTCTGTCAAATAAAGCTACTGTTTCTTATATGTACAATAGCGCTTTTGCTAGTACAACACATGTGGGTCGGCGATCTCACACAGAAAGCGCTAAGATAATTCCCAAGGGCTGATCTGAGAAAATAACCAGATTCAGTCATGCTCAAGGTTATGCAGCTTACATTCTGTAAGGAGCTCTTCGAGGGAATGACAAACGATACCGCAAACAATTTCGGCAATTACAATTATGTAACATGCTCTTCGCGCAAAGCACTTTATATTACGAAGCCAATAAGCAGGTGTAGAATGGTTATAAAATCATACCAGCAAATCCGAACATATGAGCAAATTGCGCAAAAACAAAGGATGGGGTTAGCGAGAGTCGGCTGTTCCATCAGTATGGCCACCCGTCCGCTTACTCAGTTTCAGAAATCTGTTACTCGTTCTCTTAGAGGGGTCTCAATACGACTCCCCAACAACAGCCTTATTGTTAGAATGGTCCTACAGTACAGACCACCCTCAGCAAAAAAGTCAAATATGACCACCGCATTGGAAACTGCGCAACGCGGTGGTCATATTTGCCCGCTACAGTACTAGGGCGTTGCTGGTTCACCCTGTCCAGCAATGCCCTAGTACTGTAGCGATTAGGATTTCTCCAGCGGTGTTCGGGCGAGATTTCAGACGCCACTTCTTCACTCCATATGCACAATGCATATGTAGCAAAACAAATTCGAGCCGTCATTCACCTATCAGTTAGGAACACATGACAAATATTTGTTTCGAAAATTTCCGCAAAATGCGATGCAACGATGGAATAAAGTGCTCGTGCACACCCCCGTGTCCCTCGGCTTTCGATCGTTGCTTGAAACTTGGAAAAATCAGGCTTCTAAGTATCAAGAGAAAATGTTGTGGTTCGCGGTGCAATGTGGCTCGAAGGGGGGGGGGCTCTCCGTAGAAGGGCCTCTCGGACTAAGCCTGAACAACGAGGAGGAACACCGAAGAATACGAAAATTGCGTCCGCACAGCGGTGTTCCTCTCCTCTTGAAAAGCTTAGTCCTGAAATGGAGCGCTTCCGTGACTTTGAAGCGATGTTGCGGGGTGCCCCCCCCCCGAGCCACACTGCGCCTGGTTCGCTAAAACGGGAAGCGACTTGTCTGCTTCTCGCAGCATGATGGTTTTCGCTTCAATTACCCCAGGTCCACTCTTCATGAGTGGTGGACTTGAGGTTCCTGCACAGAAAAACTTTTCGTGTTGCGAAAAGCGGTAAATATGAAGTCGCTTTCTTTCCTAGCGAACCACACCCGAGGAAATACAAGATATTGTTTCCGCAGTGCACTTTACAAGTAAACTTAAAGAGAAGTGCATGCAGCATCAGAAAAAAACTACTTACAGTTTGTTCCGACATCATGGCAAGTAAGAATAATGGTTTTCCCATTACGTTCGTCTAGATTTCCTTGCACATAGACGTGCAGTACTCCGCAATTTTGCGTCTGCACGGCTATCATCTGAAATACGGCTTCTCACGGCGAAATGGAGCATCCTTTGGAAATAAGTAACTTATCGCTGCCTTCTCAGCCTATACCAAGCATAAAGGCATTTAAGAACATTACGTCATGAACACTACGCTATGAACCTTCTCAGATACTTATCAGCAGCCAAAAAATCCGAAGTATTTAGTAAAAGTCATACCTGAGTATCGTCAGTCATTCTGATTGGACGTTCTCAGCTCTGAAAGGAGATGTGTCAGTCGGAATGAATCACATTTGTTCACGAAGAAGTACGAATATTTCATGAAAATGTCGTAAGGGTGAACCATCAGACAGAATTGGAAATGAGAGCAGAAAGATAAGTTTTAATGGCGTTCAATTAATAACTGGCAGGAAAAATAATTACATATTAAAGGTGATGTTAAATGAGCGGCAAGCCTACGCTTGGAGGTCCGTGGAACGTGACTTTCCCACAGGCGTAACGAAAATCCTTCCCGTACGAACATATTGAAGCACATGACGGCTTTACTCAAAGCCTCCTTCAACGGCTATCTTGGCGATAGCAATCAAGAGATTGCCGGGCACCAACGAAAAGCGATCAGCCCATTACTTGCCCAAAGCCACTTACTAGATTAAGAACGGCATAGAACATCCAAAGATAAGTCAGGGCTGAGGAAAACACAAAGTTAAACTATGGCATGAAAATGCAGTGAAAGCGTAGTACAGACGTAAGATCAACTGTGAGGAACTTGTTTGTCATGTTCGAGCCGATCAGCTAGCCCGAGTCGGCGGAGCAAACAACCGTTGGTGTCTAACCAACCGACCAGGTCCATCATTAGATAATGCGCTGGTCTCGGGTTCAGTTAAATACGGGAACAGGCGTGGGGCAGGAGAGGACAGGGTGTCACGGGATGTTTACGGTCTCGCGCCTGCACCGTTAAGATTACGGATTCGCGCTTATCTCATTACAAACAATTTTTCCAGCACACGCATGAAGAAAGGTGACCGTTCGTGGTGTCATAGTTCGCAGTACTTCCCTTCCCATGGTTGTCGCTCAATCGGTGTCAAGGCTTAGTGTCTGGGGCCGTGTCCTAAATTCTCTCAGGCCAAGGGGAAGAAAAAATTCCCTTGAATTTTCCTTGTTTTCCCAACCAACATTCTCCCAAAAAGTGGCCTACTTGTAATGTTTGTTTGTGTGTAAAGGAACCACGTGCTGTAAGCAAGGAAACTTTACCGTTGAACACCAAAAAATTAAGAGGAACCTTCTTCCCGGCGTGAGATAGGATACGGCCCCTGATGAAGGGCTCCAGTGTACGTGAGCGACGCGAAGTCAATCTCATCAATGGGTGTCGATCAATACACCATGTGAGAACGTTCAACTATAGAAACCCGGCATGAATACGAATCAAGCGATCCATGCCTGTTCGGCAATGCCGCCACAATCTAACGATGCATCGTTTTGCGACTTACTACACCCAATATATATTTATGGCACTAGTAGTTGTTAAACTAGATTCCCTTGATCGTCATCCCACCTAAGATTGAGAGGTACACCTAAATTACCCTATTTATTAGCATTCTTCCACAGACTACCAAGGAGACTATTAGGCGAGTTAATAGGTAAAGGCTCTATGAGAAAGTTCTAGATTATACAGTCAAGGAATGCACTAGTTACTACACTCCCTCCCCCACTCTTCTCCCCTCTTTTTTATCCCTACTATGCGGGTTACCCTATCTTTCAGTTCCTCCAGAAATTTACAAACTAGCCCGAGAGCATATGCAGCTCTCAAAACAGTAAAAGTTTCGTAAAATCCTACATATTCTTGGAACGTCTAAAATGGACTAGTTCAGGGAATACACAGCCGATTCCACTTAAAGGCAAGATTCGGGATAAAATAGGCGTGGAAAGGCGTTCAGCTATGAAGCTATAGATGAGAGGTGGTCTGTAAAAGAGAAGGGAAGCAAACGAAACCATTGATTAAACCCAATACAGAGACCTCCCCTTTTTCAGCCACATTCCACCTTGGGATAGAGAAGAGGCGCATCGGACAGTTTCGCGAACCTATCTCTACTTGCTCCAGTGCCAATAGTTGGATCGCGATGAGACCGCAACCTCAAATGCGCCCGCGTTTCTAAAGCAGCGCCACGTGGCAACCGACAGCGAAGGGTGGGGCTTGCGGACGAAGGTGTGAGTTGCGTGCTGGACGAGCTCCTTACGCTTTCGTCGCGTACTTTCAGGCCGCGAAAGGGGCCCGACATCAACACTGTCCGCCTGTCCACTACCCCCGGGATGGAACAGAGGAGAACGCCTATCGCGGAGCGTGCTTTTAACACGAAGGGCCCCTGCGAGGTCAAATCCGACACTCTGTCTCTATCAAGGATTCCTCGGTTCTTGTCCATTGATAGGGATGCGCGTACTCTCAATGGAGCTGCAGTATTCTTTTGACAAAAGGTTCACTACGGGTTCAGTGACATTGGAAGTCCATTAGTATTCTTTTATCGTAATACATCTACATACTATAGAGCACATACTGTAGGACACTCACTCTTTACTATCCCATCCCACCTCGTCCTTAGACATTCTGTGCACACATTAACTTTGTCTGCTTACCAAATAAAAACAGTGGATGTGACCTGGCTTGATTACACGAGGCACGCCTTAGTAGTGCTAATATGGTAAACCCATATTGCTAGCACTACGAAAACTACCCCGTCTACACAACCAACGATGGAGGTCCTAATAAACTATTCAATACGTCGACGACCGCCGTCACTGCTTCAACATTTTTTGCATTCTCTCATCAATAGGCATTAATCCTTCAGCGTTTTCATCATTCATAATGAAAAAACTGTTTCTCGGATTCGATAATGTACATGGGCCGTTGTAGAACAGAAACAAATGCCAAAAAATTAAAAAAAGTAGTCTACCCCATGTGAAAGTGTAGTATGACATCATACCACACGGTCGACAACGTGTTAAAATACTCCGAAGAAGAAAAGAAATCGCCGGTAAATATGATTCAAATGTGTTGAAGCTTTCGTTTGACTTTCAGAGCCCTTTTTCTAAGAAAGGAATATGACGCAAGTATGTACTTTCTTTGTTCGCAGGCTTGATTGGTCGTTTTTTATTCTCCTATCACCGATTATATTCCCAGACCCGATTATATGCAAAAAACAAATGCCATCGAGCACGCTGGGGCCGTAGACAACAAGTGAACGCATTGTTTATCTTGAGCCTCTGAACTGCTTATTCTCACTTGTTATTCTCGACGTTGTTCTATGATACTATAAGAAGAGAGTGAATGAAAAATACAAACGACTATGTAAGCAAATCAAAATGATGAAAGAGTGAGAATAAAGGGAATTTCAATAATCTTGACCAATTAAAATTCGGAAAAACTAAAAAAATTTGAACAGCGATGTTATTCAGAAAAGATTGATGAATGAGATGAAAAAGGAAGTTACGATTTGATCACAAGATTAAATATATGTGAGTTCCGCTCAAGGGTCCACATTATATAACGGATATCCGAAAAATGAAATGTTTTGTAATATTTTCGAGAAGTAAATGACAGCAGGGTAAACCATTTGTAGCCTGAAGAAAAGTTCGAAGCACTTTTCTGACCTGAGAACAATTTCGCACAAAGACAAACAGAGGTCTTAGAATAGGGAAGAAACGACGATTTATAGAGCTCATATCTGAGAAAGGCAATTGAGGGTTTCAGGGTTTACGTTCACACACCACAAAAACTTTTACGTAAGCACAGTTATCAGCGTTGACACAAAAAACTGCAATTGACGTCTGCTTATTACGCACTGCTTGTGAAAAGAAGGACCCAAGAAAGTACAAGAGGAACTAATAGCATATCTGAAGCTGCAGAAAGGAGGTTCTCTAGCGGTCCACGTATAGCACAACGGAGACGTTCACGTAAACGTAGGTTCCGGCTATAGCCCAAAACAGTAATAGTTGACGTGTTGTCTAATAAATACAAATTCTGAAAGTCCAAAAAAGGACCTGCAGAATTGTACCAGCCTTGGTGTGAAAACAGAAGTCACTATGCCGACACCCGCGTGGAAGCCTTGACAACGGCGGTTAAAGGAAGCATAGTGGGTGTAAAATGCAATCTGTTCCTCGACGAGCTTCAATGAAATATGATAAGAATATGTACACGGATGTGATTTTAAGAAGGATACTGCTAGATAAGCAGGCGGTGCTGGCTTAGCCTAGATTTTCTGTAAGTCACCTGATAATAAAAACTGCCAGCTATTTTTTCCATTTGCTGAATAAATTAGCTTCTTTCATAGATTATCCAGCTGAAGCGATCTGTCATTTTTTCAGAGTCCGAAGCTGTTTTTGAGCTGGAAACATCATATTCTTCAAACTCACGTATTTCTGTTACCGAACTGCTCATGAAAGTAATTTTACTAGTTTATACGAGAAAGTCAGCCAATTCGAGTGATTTATTATGAAGTCGGTGGGAGATTGGCGAATGTTCCTCTCTTAGGGAAGCCATAAACTTCATCATCGGCAGAAAAACAACTTCTATTTATATTCAATTACGTAAGAGTTTTTCGTATCCAGTCACAGGGATGTTAAGAGTTATTTATAACTATTTACTGGATAAGAGTAATAGTGGCCATAGAGCACGGATTGCGGGTAGATTAACCCGCTTGGGTGAAAAGCTTAAATTGAGCTCACAAAATCTGATGTGTGGGAACACATGACTAGTAGGCCACGCACGGCGTTGTTTGTGCGTTTGGTGGCAGTCAGGGTGGCCTCGGGGTTATTGCATTACTCGCTGAGGGAACAGAGTCGATAGGCCACGAGCCGCAGTATGCGTGTATGTGTGTGTGTGTGTGTGTGTGGCTTCATGGCAGAGTTACTCGAGTTTCGATCTCACGATTCTGGGGCGAGGACTACTGTGAAAGCCAGATTTTTTTCTCTATTTCGAAAGTTTTTCATGCGAAAATCAATGCTTTGAGATCTTTACAAATGGAGGGATGACGACAGAGGTCGTGGAATCGATCAGTTGTTCACGTGCGTCAGTCTAGTGCACAGGTGCACAAATTTTATATGGAATAGCCTGTGCTACAGGAAAAAGACTAGGGTTCGAGAATGTCGCTGAACATTCGCTGACTATTCGACAACGGGAAATGTAGCTACTTAGCCTCACGAGGATAAAAAATAGAAGTGTAGCTACTTAGTAGTGAAAGCCAAAA